ATTGACTTATGTTTTTGAAAAAGGATGGGATGGAAAATACCATTCTTCTCTTATGAACTCGACGCCTGGAGCCGTATTATGAAGAGTCAGTATTCCCGAAAAAAGAGAAGTGAGATGACCATCTGATAAGAACCTCCACTAGGCTGTCAAGAATATTATCTGTTTGGCTTTCCCAGGGGGCCGGTAGCATGCCCAGTCCCTTCCTGCCAGCTGTTAATTTATAGTCAACCTTATTTTTGGAAACATGAGGGGGGTATTGTAATTAGAAGTGTGGAAGACCTGAATTTGAGAATTCAAAATATCTCTAAATTTTTAGCAAAAATCTAGAGTGCAAATAAAAGAAAAATGTTTCATATTTTGAGTGGGATAAACAAGCCTTTTACTAAGTAAACTTACCTCCTCAAAATTACTTTTTATTAGTACTAATAATAGGAAAAATGGATTTAAAATTTTATGAAGGAAAACTTGGGAATAACTTGCGTCAACTTCTTTGTAAAAAAAATGTTTTGTTTTGTGTTCCTTCATCTGTTTGCTCTTGCTTTACATTTCCCCAGGAAACTGTATTTCAGCGTCCTTAATTGACACTGACAAAATTGCCAAGCACAGGATTTCCTGGAGGCTTGGCCCTTTTGTGTCAGGATGAGCGATGGACCTCAGTATTTTGATACTCGCTTCCCCTTTTATTTAAATGAGGAATAACTGCCCCTATTTTGGATAATTTTTAATTAGAGGTCTTAAAACTCTGTTATTTAAAGTTTATTAATGGAGGGACAATTAAGTGCTCTTTTAAGTTGATTATTATATATACAAGATGGTCATAGCTGGCATTAAAATGCTCTGTGTTTTCTTATAAGTATTTCAGTATTTTAAATTTTGGCAGAATTTCTTGAGCAATTAATAGTGTAATAGAAAAACTGAAAATAGTAGATTTAGGCTAATTGTATTGGTAATTACAGTAAAGCATTGATATGTAAGCATCCAGCGATATCATCTGGGCATTTAAAGTACATACATTTTTATTATAATCTAAGAGCAGTTTTCATTGGGAATAGATTATTTTAAATTTACATTTTTCTTTTTTTTTCTACAGGAAGGAACTTGAAACCTTCAAAGGTAATTTTGTGTTTAATTCTTCACTTTAAAGTAGATGAGACTTAATTGATGTCAGATGTTCTTTCTTAATGATGATGAACGAACTCATTCCTTTTTCTTTAAATCAGTTTACATCAAAAAAAGTTTGCTTAACACTGGTTTGTCAGTTTTATTTAATCACAAATGATTTTGATATTGTTTAGCTATAACACATGTACCAAGTGAGAGTTGCTACTAATGACCATTATAAGTAACTAGAGACCCAGTGAACAAAATTCCTGCATGGGTAGGGTCCCTAGGCCTGGCTGGTGATCAGGGCCGATCAGGGCCTTCCGTCTGCCAGCCGGGGCCTCCCTTCATTCCGCGCTGCCCCCTGGTGGTCAGCGCACGTCATAGCGAGTGATCAGTCTCCCTGTTGAACTCCCGTGGGGAAAATTTGCATATTAGGCTTTTTTATATATATACTAGAAGCTCAGTGCACAAAATTTGTGCACGGGAGTGGGGGGGGGGTCCCTCAGCCTGGCCTGCACCCTCTCCAATCCGGGACCCCTCAGGACTGCTGGCTCCTAATGGCTCACCTGACTGCCGGCCTGATCCCCCTAACTGCTCTCCCCTGCCTGCCTGATCGCCTCTAACCGCCTCTGCCTCAGTCCTGCCACCATGGCTTTGTCTGAAAGGATGTCCGGAAGGTCGTCCGGAATATGTTCAGTCTAATTAGCATATTACCCTTTTATTAGTATAGATGCCACCTTGTCCTAAAAATGCAGGTTGTTAGCAGGTTTTCCTGTTGTGGAAGGGGAACCTGCAGTAGCATCCTGGGTTCTGACCAGGGCTTATGCACTCGTGCTTTATCTCAGCAGATGAGATTCCTAGAAGACGACTCTTGGATGTACCTTGAACATTTCTATCGATTTTGCCAAATCATCCTCCAAAATTGTTGAACCACTTTAAACTCCCACCAGCAACCATGCATGTGCCCTCTGTCCTACTTTAATGCCAATATCATTGATTTCCCCCTAGAAGCTTCCCTCCCCTCAGCTAGGACTGCTTGGCACTTGAGCCAAACTCACTATTCAGCCGGGGACTTGATTTCCTGAAATAGAATTATGGAGGAGGAAGAATAGTTTTCCTCTACCCTTCTGAGTTCTTAGCGGAGGCCCTTGTAATGAAAGACAGATTACCAAGAGAAAAACAAGCTCATTAACATGTGTACCTCGTGTATATGTGGGAGATCCCAGGAAAAAATAAATAACTCCCCAAGGTGGCTTAGAATCCAGATTTAAATACCTTCTTCCTAGGGAAAGGGCACGAGAGATGTAGGCCTCTTAGAGGAGAGTAAATGATTTTTAGGAAAGGTGAATGGGGGTGGGGGGAGATAGTTTGTAACAAAGTTTGGGTGTGATGTCAACTTCTAGTCTCCTGTCCTGTGACAGGAGTCAGTCTTTGCTGGCTGATGACACTTTTCCCATCGAGGGGACCTATGACATTTAAGCTCCTTTTGGGGGTCTGATTTTAGGCAGATCAGGAAACTTCAGTGAAAGCCTCTCTTTGCATTTGCTGTTTTTCAAGCATCTGCAGTTCAAGATCATCAGTATAACAACACAGCATATGTTGGGGTGGCATGTTCTCTGACTTTCAGAATAAACCCAACAAAAGCTTGTTTCCTCTCTTAGATGATTTGCCACAGTAGCATTATTCCCTGGAGACAGTATTATGACCAGACCTTCCTGGGAGTGGTCATAACATACTCTGTGCTTGTAGAAAGGTGTGGGCCATAAATCAGGGTCAGTTTTCTCATCTTGTGGAAAGGGAGATAAAGTTATGATAGTTTATGTCCCTTTCCATAGGTTTCCTGTGGGTTTGTGTCTCCACTGTGGCCCCAGTGGCCCCAGCACCGCCGCAGCTGCAGGGTTAGGGCTACTGGGTGTCGGGCCCCCCTGCGGGCTTGTGTCTCTGCTCCTCCAGCCCCAGCGGCCCCAGCGCCACCGCGGCTGCGGGACTTGGAGCTGCTGGGTGCCAGGTCCCCTTGCAGGCTTGTGTCTCTGCTCCTCCGGCCCCCACAGCAGTGGCGATGAAGCAGGCCCAGAGGCCCCCCCGCAAGCGTCCCAGCCCAGCTGCCACCATCTTTGTTGTGGAGTGACAGTCAATTTGCATATTCCCTCCTTATTGGCTGTGGGCATTGCCATCTTGTCGCAGAGTGATGGCTAATTTGCATATTACTCTTTTATTAGATAGGATATAGATATATTAGGATGGCACAGTGCTAACTTTGAGGTTGCTGAGAGTCATAATATTAAAAGATTCTGGTTTCTGTTATATAAACTCTGGACCACAGGGACAGAGTGTGGTGATAGAGATAGAGCTTTGCTTCTGCAATTGACCCACAGTTACTTGAACCTGCTGAGAGGTACTCAGTACTGGGTCCCATTATGCCACTGTCTTGAAATTTGGGATAAGTCTCTTACTGTTTTTCAGACTGTTTTTTTAATCTATAAAATTAGAAGCTCTGATGAACTATATTCTGAGATGCTAAAAGCATCCAGCATTGCTTTTTAATTTTAGGGAACTTCTGAAGGTAGAGCATTGAATAATTCTTGGTCATGTTGACTCTTACGAGGCATAGAGAAACACTAGTGAAAAATAGGGAAAGCTGCAGACTTTCTAAGTAGCCCAAAGTCCTTCCAATTCACTGTTTTTCAGCTGCTCATTAGCAATTCAGTAGTGAAAGCACTGTTCTCAGAGAGACTCATTTCAATTATATTTCACATATAAGCTAGTATTGACCTTTTGATTTACTGAATGATTAAGGATTTTCCACTATATGTTTATAGTTGAATTGTTTATGTGTGTGATCTGATTGGATGTTTAGAAGAAATGACTAACCCTCAAGATAAAAGGTATAAAGGCTTATTTCTTCTATGACTATAATTGAACAGACTTGCTTTGGCTAGATTTCTATTTAACTGCCTATAATTATAGTATATGATTAAATTCATGGCCAGTGTGTTGAGGGAATGTTAAATGATCATGTGATATAATGTATTATCATGGCTGCCATTATTCTTAATCAATTTTTGAACCATGACTCATGTACATTATTTTTTTATCAGTGGTTTGGAATAAGATTTGAAATCCTCATAAAATGGTCTTTCCCTCTCATTCTTTCTTTCAGTCAGCTACAATCTTCTTATATAGCATTAGGAGAAGAAAAAAAATCAAGTTAATATTAAGAGACAAGCAGGGACACTAGTTATGCAAAAATGTCTCAGTACTGAGGCATCCTTTTTTTAGTATTACATACTGTATTACCTGGTAGAATAATTCAATTTATGGTGATATATCTTGTTTATACATACATCCCTAATTATGTACAACATATATCCCTAATTATGTACAACATATAACAGTACATCCAAACTACCCACAGACCAATTAAAATTCTCAAGTTTGAACAAACTATAAATTGATTATTGTATCATAACTAAGTTTTTTGGAGTCAATATTCATTAAAAATTCTTTCCTCTTGAGTATTTTGCTAATTTTTAAAAGCATAAGTAGCATATAATAAAAGAAGAAATGTAACTGCTCTTCTAAGACATTATGTAGAAAAGGGAAAAATTCAAACAAATTGTAACAGTTTATTTTTGAACATCGTTGCCTTTGCTTTTATTTTTCCATTATGATAGGGTTCAGGAAAACAATAGGTATTACTTCCTTCAGTTGTTTTATTCAATTTGTAGTTGTATTTGAAAGCGTTTTTCTGTTGGTGAAAAACTAACTTTTGGAGACAAAAACTCAAAATTAGGAACCCTCAAAGTAATAATATAGGTCAGTATCATCCACCGAGTTCTAGATTCTTCCTTCTATCTTCCATTGAAGTTAATGCATCAAGTTTGCCTTTCACTTGTGCCACATGTAGCAAATCTCTACATTATGGAAACTAGTTGATGTTTGTTTGTTTGGTTAATACTCATAGCAGAAAGGTTTTCTGTGGTCCTCAAATATTGCTATATTCCTCAAATATTTTTATTCCTTTAAACTTTTTAGTAATATTTACTTGGATAATAGACAATAGAAAAAGGAGGGTAGAATCCTAAAAGTCTTACTTTTTTATTTTCAATAGAGAAGGAATTCCATTATTATAAGCACATGTAGAATAAATGTACGAGGGTTCCTTGTTTTATTGTGCTTCACTGTTTAAAAATTCTTTATTGTTGCAAGTATTACATATGTCTCCTTTTTCACCCATTGACTTCTCCCCAGCCACCCCCACCCCCTAGCACATGCCCTCACCCCCCTACTATCTGTGTCCATTGGTTATGCTCATATGCATGCATACAAGTCCTTTAGTTGATCTCTTACCCCCCACCCGCCACCTTCCCCTGCCTTCCCTCTAAGGTTTGATGGTCTGTTTGATGCTTCTGTGTCTCTGGATCTATTTTTGTTCATCAGTTTATGTTGTTCATTATATTCCACAAATGAGTGAGATCATGTGATATTTATCTTTCTCTGGCTTATTTCGCTTGGCATAATGCTTTGCAGGTCCATCCATGCTGTTGCAAATGGGAAGAGTTCTTTCTTTTTTATAGCAGCGTAATATTCCATTGTGTAGATGTACCACAGTTTTTAATCCATTCATCTGCTGATGGGCACTTAGGCTGTTTCTAAATCTTAGCTATTGTAAATTGTGCTGCTATGAACATAGGGGTGCATATATCCTTTCTGATTAGTGTTTCTAGTTTCTTGGGATATATTCCTAGAAGTGGTGTTACTGGGTCAAATGGGAGTTCCATTTTTAATTTTTTGAGGAAACTCAATACTGTTTTCCATAGTGGCTGCACCAGTCTGCATTCCCACCAGCAGTGCAAGAGGGTTCCTTTTTCTCCACATCCTTGGCAGCACTTGTCGTTTGTTGATTTGTTGATGATAGCCATTCTGACAGGTGTGAGATGGTATCTCATTGTTGTTTTGAGTTGCATCTCTTGGATGATTAGTGACTTTGAGTATGTTTTCATATGTCT